CGAGGAGGGCAGCACATGTCCACACACATGGGGCTCCGCTCTACAAAGCCCGAGATGGAGACTCTCGTTAGGCACCTCCCACAGTGACCAGAATGCTCGTTCTTATGTAAAGTTGTTATTCAGGAGGGAAGACAATACACAACCTGTGAAACCAGCTGAAGTGGTTCAAAAGAATTTTTAAAATATTTTAATTTTTTGAAAAAGACATTGAATTGTACACTTCATTTATTTTGAGACAGGTCTTGCTCTGTTGCCCAGGCGTGAATGCAGTGGCACAATCACGGCTCACTGTAGCCTGGGCCTCCTGGGCTCAAGCGATTCTCCTGCCTCAGCCTCATGAGTAGCTTGGGACTACAGGCACACACCACCAGACCTGGCTTTTTTTTTTTTTTTTTTTTTTTTTCTGTAGAGGCAGGGTCTCACTGTGTTGCCCAGCCTGGCATCAAACTCTAGGCTCAAGTAATCCTCCCACCTCGGCCTCCCCAAAGTACTGGGATTACAGGTGTGAGCCAGCACAAAACAATTTTTTTTTTTAAAGATTCAGCTGCAATTTCAATGTCAGTGTTCTAAGGAATCCCTTCACCTCCTCTTCCCTCTCCCAGCCAGTGATGCTGGAACACTGGGGCATGACAGCATGTGCACCTAGAGGTCAAAATGAACAATAAAGACAGAGAAAGGACTGGAGTGGAAACTGGAAACTGGTCACCACAGCTGGGCAGCTGGCAGAGCAGAGGCCACAGGGGCCCACAGCTGGGAGGAAGTGAGCGCTCCTGGAGGGGAGGCTGAGACACAGCGCCGGAGGGCACAGCTCGGAGAGGAGAAAGCGGGCACCATGCAGCCAGTGCGTCCCCATACCTGCGCACCCGCCACCATCCCCTGAACCTCATCTTCCCAAATGGCTCTTTATGAAGCCTCTGATGCTCTGCCAATCCTTCCAAACCTCGTGCCCACATTTGGGATGCACTGTCCGCTACTGCTACCCCCAACACTGGCCACAGGAGGCTGAGCACTGGGGGCTCCATCCAACCTCGCTGGACCTGGGTGCCCACGGCCTCCGGCCTTGCACAGGCAGTCACCCCCCCTGTGGCTGTGCCATCCGCTGTCCTGAGGCCTTGGTGCAGGTGGCTCTCCAGATTCCTACTATGTCTCTCATCCTCCTACTGCGTCTCCCACCCTCCTACTGCGTCTCCCACCCTCCTACTGTGTCTCAGGCTCTGCGGTTCCTGTGCACTCTCAGTGTGCCCAACAGGGCCTGAAATGGACTCTAATCAGTATTCCTTAGTGTAGGGTCACGCTCACCTGCACAGCACCTGTCAGCAGACGGCCTCAGCCAGGGGAGCTCTCCCAGAGTCAACGAACAGCTGTGAGTCCCACCCTGCCTGCAACCCAGCACCAGATGGGGCATTCCATCTCTCAGCAAGGAAGAAAAGCAAGGCCGCTGTGGACATGAAACTGACCACATGGCTTCAAATCATGCAATTCTTCATGTTTTCTATTCAGACAGCAAATGGCAACTGTGGGATGTGACTGGAATCTCTCAATATTTAATTTGAAGAAAACATGACTCAAACAGGATGGCCCCCTGGCAGCCGGTGCCACAGGGTCACACCAACGCAGCACAATGGCGCTTCCCAGCACCACAGCCACCAGGGCCCTCCTGGAACTGAGGCTGCTGCTGGCTGCAGACGCGGCCTCAAACCCACCACCCCAGCAGCAATCCACAAGCACAGCGCACATCCCTCCCTCCATGGAACAAAGAACGGAGGCTATTTTCACAGAAGCTGTCCACTGATCAGAAAATAATCAGTTAACGGCAAGAAGTAACAGCAACAATCATCTCAGAAGTGGAACAGGAGGAAAACAGCAACAAGTGTGAGCCCAGTACAAGGAAAGGGGGCGGGGTGCAGGATGTGGGGCACGGGGTGCAGGGCGCAGGACACAGGGCGCAGAACCTGGCCCCAGGATGGAAAACGAATGGCCAGAAGAGGGTAGGCCTGGCCACCCTCCCGAGAGGATTTCTAGCTGCTCTGTCAGATTCTGAGTCTGTTGCCACATAACCATTCTTAAATGACAGTTGGAACTAGGGAATCAGATGGGACTACTAAGCTAATCCTCAGTGATCTAGGAACTTAAAGCAGCCGCATCCATTTCTTAGTGTTCTCTTACTCCAGCCAGGGTGCTGTTCCTTGTCTTCCCTCAGCTCCCTGGAGCGAGCGTGGGCTGCAGGGTCTCCCATAATCAAGCCAGTGCTCACAACCAGGGCAGGCCAAGGGCCTCCGGGACAGGACGGGGAGCTGAAAGGGCCTCCGGGACAGGACGGGGAGCTAAGCCATCTGCAATGTCACACAAAGGACGCTTCTGAGGTCAAGTCTGGCTGGAGAAGAGAGAGCCTTAGACCCACGTGCACTATCCTCCTGTGGGCACAGGGGCGGGGAGGAGAGCGAATGGGCTGGGTGACCCCCGACAGGGCTCAGGGCTTCTTAGCCCAGTAGACAACATGGAGGTGAGTGGGCTTCTCTGTGCTTTTTAAAACATCCTTCCGTCTCCCAAAGGTGTGGCCAGCCCGGAGGACGAAGCCTGCATGAGCAGGGTGAAGCTCTGCAGGAATGAGAACTGGCCAAATAATGGAAAAAGAAAGAATTTCCACAAATGGAAGATGAGGGGTTCGCTACACAGATTTACCAGAAAAGGCAGCTTCAGATAACACAACGGTTTCCTTAAATCATACACCAGTTTCCTTCCAAAGAGAAGCAGGGGCCATGTACTGAGCTTCTGCCTGCTACCCTGAGTGGTAGCACTGGCCTCTCCTGAAGCCGTCTTTGATTTGAGGTCCCACAAATGCAACTGATAATAGGAATCAGGAGGTGGGAAGAACATAGGAGAGTTCATAAGGGGAAAAAAAACAGGTGATTTATAAATTATTATTCGTTTCACATAAAAAGTGGTAGTACGGCAGCTTTACGCATTCTGCAGTGAGGCCACTTACAGTGGGGACCTGGAGGGGCCACGGCAAACACAGGAATGAGCAGCAGTTGCGACCCTGCTCGCAGTGCAAAGGCATGTGGGGCAGCAGCAGTGACGGAGGGACGACAGACACCAGAACACAGCCTTGTTCAGAGGATTCCAGACAGCAACTCCTCCAACATCAACCCTCAGTCCTTCCCGAACTCAGATCTGTGCTGGAGTCAATGGGCCTCCATGCCTGCTGAGAAAAGCTGGAATCTCTGTCCTCACAACAGAGGTGGGAGGATTCTGTCTACAATCATAAACAGAAGCACTGCAGTAATACAGTGTAAAGAGCCTGGTTCTATCTTTAAAATTCCAAGTGGATTTTGTTCAGAGGCAGAGAGGGGAACAAGGGAATATCGAAGGTGACATGCCTTACAAAAATTTTCCTAGGAGTTAAAGTCCAGCAGCGTTTTAACTATGATACAGTTCCACTACCAGCATAACCATAAACCACTATGTTGCACAAAACTTAGACGGACCACCGGCTGGGAGTCCTGTCCTCTGCTGCCCCAGTGACTGTGAGAACCATGGCGGGGAAAGGCACGGAGAACCAGCCCGCACTGCACCGACCACAGCCTCATTACCCCAGCGGAATGAGCGCAAAGCCACAAGTGTGGGTTTAAAAACTGCGCATTCCTTTGGCTCTTCTCCAAAGCAGCAATTGCATACTTACAGACGAGCGACGCTGCAGGACTACCTGAGAAAACCTCATGCTGATCTTCAAGAAGAAACTTTCCAACTAAGAAACACTGACATAAACCAGTTCTGCAGGGTCTGCAGCCCTTCTCCCAAGGGGCCTCTGAGGGGTCAAGGGAAAGCCCACGGGACGCACGTGCCCTTCTGTCCCTGTCATCTGCGAGGCACCTCGCTCCGGGGGTGCCCTGGGCTCAGTCGGGTCAGAGACCCGCAGGGCCTGGCCTTGGCAAAGGGAACGCACGCAGGTTCCTCAAAGGACAGTGCCCTGTGGTTTTGAAAAATGAGTACGATCTTTCTACGCAGTGAGCTCTGTGTTCATGGTTCTCACCGCCAACCTCCCAGGTTCTGTTTTACGAAATGGGAAGATCACCCAGACTCTTCAATAATGATCCAGAGGTGATAGCCGTCTCCTGAATAGAAAGGGTCTTCACCAGGACCTGGGAACACACAGCCTCAAAACCTCCAGCGAGTTCACTGTGTCCTGCACAGCAATGCCCTCCCCAGGACCCGCACTGTCAGGACACATCATTTTGTAAAGACAACTCGTACCGGGGTGCTCAACGAATGGTCACTCTTTTTGTCAAGGATTAGAAAGCAAGCAAGTTTGTGAGTTTGACGGCAATACACAGGAGTGAAACCACCTTTTCCTACCAGAGCTATCTACTCAAACACGACCACCACCAACATCTACATGCGTGTGCAGAAAATAACCATCTGCACGGGGTGGGGTTTGGGGTTGGAGGGGAGGGCACGTTTCCGCCAGAATGCAAAAGCTACCGAAATCCTACGGAGCAGCAGATGTGACCCCCAAGCCCCACCCTCCCCCTTCCAGGCCTGTGCATTGCCATGGTGAGGAAAGCCAGTCCTGCTCTGGGGCTCACACTGAGAGGCCTTCGCACCCTCGCTTCCTCCTGTGGCAGCCCCCATTCCTTGGCAGCACAATGGCCTGTATGTGACAGAGGGGCTGTGGCACTCACCTGACCATCCGCCCCCTCCCATGAGAGCCCCACCCCTTGGCAGCGCAATGCCCACGTGTGTGTGGAGACCAGGGCACACACCTGGCCGTCCCAACCCGTCCTGTGAGAGCCCCACCCCTCCGCAGCGCAATGCCTGTGTATATGTGTAAGGACTGGGGTCGCTCACCTGACCGTCCCACCCCCTCCCATGAGAGCCCCATCCCTTGGCAGCGCAATGCCCACATGTACATGGGGACCAGGGCACTCACCTGACCGTCCCACCCCCTCCTGTGAGAGCCCCACCCCTCAGCAGCGCAACTCGCGCACTGGGACACTCACCTGACCATCCTGCCCCACGTGATGGATCTGGAGGTTGCCCTGCAAAGAATGAGAGGAGGAGACGGTCATGAGCAGAAACACGCCAAGACACCCGTAGACTCGTCAAACACGCCAAGACACATCACGGGCCATTTGAGAATAACAAGAAAAACACTGGTTCTAAAAATTCAACCTCTAGTAGCAACAAAAGCTCCAAAATAAAATATTTAGATTTTTAGGTACTATTTATTATCTTAAAGGTGAACAAACAACTCAAAAAGCACTGTACCCATTCCCCCACCCTGACCCCAAATGAAAATGTCATTTTGGCTTCATTTTTTATTTTGAAAGAATTTGACTCACAAAAAGTACAGAAAGTAGCAGAGAGAGGTCCTATGTGTGTGCCGCCCAGCTTCCCCCAGTGAGGACACTTTGCTGAGCTGTGCAGCATCACCATGCCAGGACATGGGCCGCACACCAGGAACCAGCTCACTCAACCACGGAGCTACCAAGAGCTCTCCAGCTAGAAACTCGCTTTCATTTGTTGTAAAAAGGAACTGTTTTAAGACTGTTAGACCCTGCTAAACGTTTATTTGCAGATATCCTGTTTTAACAAAATAATTTCAAATGAACACGGTATGAATTTATGGTGGAGACTGCATACTGTCACTTATCACAAAGCCATCCTTAGCATTATCAGCAATTTCTAACTTACTCCATTCAATTCCTAATGAAAACAAAAGATCACCTATACAAGATGGATTCAGTTTTGAAAACTGAAAAGAGGAAAAACTAACAATAAAAAATTGCAATTCGAGTAGTCAAGATTTTTTAGCATAAACTATAAAAAGCAAATGTGTGTTTTTTCTTTTGCTGCTGTTTCAATTTTCCTTCATTTCCAATGACTCTAAGGAAATTAAGCATTCCGACGAACTGCATGGACTTCCAGGTATTCAAGAACTCTGGCTGAGCTCTCTGACAGTGAGCTCAGCCTCCAGCCCCCACTTGTCTGTGCCTTGAGAAGCAAACCTTCCCCCGCCCTTCAAAGGCAGCTCCTGCACTGGAAGGTGCTGCTGGGATCCTGCACCTCACAGCCGCTCCGGCCCCCGACTCCTGCACCTGACTGCACTGAGCCGACTGGTGCCATCTCCCGGCATCTCCACAGAGACGGTCCCTGACCCACCCACAGACACAGAACCAGGCCCTGCTCCTTCCTGGACACTCTGGCCTCCCGGGACCGTCCCCCACCTGCCCCCCACCCCGGTGCTTCCTTCCATCCATCCATCTGACCACGTTTCTTAGTGACCTGGTCATCTTGCTGTGTGGATGAGCCCACTCATTCCCAGTCGCTTACGGCCCCCACAAGAATTCATTCCTCCCCTTTCACCTCATCCTGATTCCACCCTCGGAATGCTTATGCATGTGCTCCTCTCTCAGGATAACCCACTAGGAACTGCTGGTGTCCAAATTAAAGCCACCGCCAGCAGACACGTCTGAGTCCCTGGGGCTCCTCCTGCCACGGCATGCATGTGTCCACAGTCTTGCTCATGGGCACTTGGGCAGGAGCCTCTGCGCCCACCGTGAATCTCCGAAGGCAGGGCTTCTCTCTCCTCCGCTCCCCAACAGCACCTGCACCCAGCACGAGCTCCCGGGAGGCCTCGCATGCTAACATCTCCATGAGTCCCCTCGACCTCAGCATCCGAGCTTCCTAGACTCTGCTGCTGGTGTGTGTGGGGAAACCTGAGATCTTTGTAACGACACACTGTCGTGCACCGAACACAACACTGGTGCTATTGTCACGACCTAGAAACAGCCATGTTCCTCATCCCCCAGAGCGCACCACGGTCACTCAGTACAACACGTGTGTGCTGCTTAGTGCCCTGCGCCTGCTGCTGCCCGTACTGTAGGAAACAGCCCAGAGTCGAAGGACAGCCACCAGCCACCCAGGAGACAGTCCTGCTGTGGCACGCAAACACGGAGCACCGCAACCGGCCAGCCTCAGCTTTCCAAGGACTCAGACTGTCACTCCTGCCTTCACATTCCAGACCCCAACAGCAGCTGAGCCCACACTTCTGAGTGCATGGCCAGGCAGAGCTCCAGAAATGGAGACAGCGGAGATAATCACAGACCTGGCAGGTGCGCCAAGGGCTATTCCCAGCTATCAGGACCGGCAGCATCACCTCATGGGATTCCCCACCGTCCCATGAAATCGGCACTAATCCCACAGAGGCCACGAGGAAGCTGGGGCCACATGGCAGGTGAGGGGGTATGTCAGGTCACCTGTGCAGGGGTAGACCACACCTCAGCCACACTGGGGACCTCCCCTGGCAGGAAGGACAGGGCCAGACAGGGAGAGAAGGGTACTCAGAGGGCACTTCCAGCCAGGAGCAGAAACATCAACCCAGGAGATCTTTATCAAGACAGACCAGAAGCTGTGGAGACCAACAGACAGGAGGGGAGGCAGTGAGGCCACAGAGACTGCAGGCCCGCCACGTGCACCCTGGAAGCAGAGTCCTGAAGCCCTTGGCCACGTTCCCCGTCCTCTGGGGCTCCCGGCTGCCCTCGCACTGTGACACCGATGAAGGTCGAGAGCATGCGGGCACCGTGCCTGCAGGGACAGTGCTGCGGCAAGAGGTGACTCACCTCGCTGTCCTGCGTGATCTGGACTTGCTCCCCCTGCGGCACCTGGGCGATGTGGAGGTGTCCCTGTGGGATCCGCAGCAAGAGAAGACACCAAGAAGCATCAGAAGAAAATCAAAAGCAAAGGAAACAAGAAACGTCTTCCGGAATGTTTGTTCTTATCTGTTTATAATTCAAAAAGATAACTGAATCCTGAATAGTGCAATACAGTCTGTGGTCACCTCTTTAAATTAAGCTTTTGGTTCACAGCAGTCCCCCTCATCCATGAGGGTTTTGTTTCAAGAAGCACCCCTCCCCCCACTATGTGGACACCAGAAACCACGGATGGTGCTGAACCCCGTATATGCTATGCTTTCTCCTGCCCATACGTGCCACACAGCTTGGACATGCTGGACAAAGGAAGGACTCACGTCCCGGATGGGACGGAGCAGGACGACCAGACTTCATCATACTACTATCCAGAAGAATATGCAATCTGAAACTTACAAATTGTTTATTTCTGGAATTTCTCATCTAATATTTTCAGATCACAGTTGACCATGGGTAATTAAAACCTGGGAAAGTGGAGGCATGGGTAAGGGGGGGCTACTGTGTAATGTACACAGAACATCTTCCAGTACTTCACAAAGGAGCAACAGGTCCCAGGAAAGATATTTACATCTTTAAATGTTACTAAACAAGTAAATTTTAAAATGTGCCTGACACATAGAAAAGAGGGGAAACAGAAAATCAGAATGACACCTCTTTCCAAATGATACGTTCAGCTCTCTGGGAAAGCTGGGAGGCTACGCATGGAGCTTGTGGCTGGAGCAGGGGAGCTATTCACGTGCCTACACTCACAACAGGGCAGGCAACGTTTTTTAAATCAAAGAAACACTCATATGACTATTTAAACAGTTTGAGTAAACACTAATAAATGTGATTCAAAAAAAAAGTCAAAGAATCCAATGTTTATACATACAGGCAGACAAATAATTCCTATAAACCTATAAATGAAATGAATACTGCTTATCTTATTTGAAATTATCTCTTAGTCAAAATGGATCTTAAACTCCTGTAGAATGTTCTATGTAAGTCTTATGGCAAAGTTATCTACTCTGGAACTCTTTCAAAGAACTTCTTACTAACAAGATGAGAGGAACTGACGTTGTCAATGTCAAACAAATTAATAAGCTTATTAAATAAGATTCACTATTCATAACTGTCTCATCTCCTTTGGAAGAGGAAGGGTAACGCCCCCTCTAAAAGCCCCAGAATTTTCTGGAAGCCTTCCCTCTTCCAGACAGCATGCTGAAGCCACACTGAGATGAGAGCCACGCCCCACTCTCAACAGCGAAGGACCTTGTTTCCAGGAGAAAGCCCGGGCGACACAGAGGCACACAATGACCTCTGTCTTCAGAGGTCCCAAGGGTGCTGGTGCCACTAAAGACATCAGCGATGTCTACTGGTACATGTAAAATTCCTAGTCACCCAGCAAAGCTTCCAGAAAAGTCTTCCTTCCTTCTCAGCCACCCCCTACTCTTGCACCACAGAATCCAGGAGGTGTCTGTAGAGGGACTTCACCCGGGAGTCAGCCCCAAGCTCATCAGGCTGACCACAGCTTGGGCCACAAAACCCCAACAGAGAACTCTACACGGGCAAGGCAGGACATTGACTCACTGCTGGGGCAGTGCCTGCCCAACCCAGGTGTGCTGAGTAACTCCAAGGCAAACGCTGATGGGAACAATGACCTCAAGCTTTTGCCACTGATCCTAGAAGGAAATGACTCTTTCCCTCAGTGAGAGGGCGCCTGCGCTTCTGAACTGAGAAATATTTCTGATGCTTCCCAGGAGCACGAGCTGGGACAGGCACCACCGCACGGCCTGACCCTCGCAGCTAACTGCCCGCCTGACTGCTGGCAGGACTGAGGTGAGCTGGGCGCCCGCCCCACCATGTGCTTCAATCCCCAGGCTCTGCAGCAGCCGCCCCCACCTGTGAAATGTTAAGAGCGCATGGCTACGACAACCTCTACTTTAAATGGGGACCTTGTGCCTCCTCCCAAGCTATCACTGTGCTTCCGAAACAGTGGAACCGGTGGAAGCCGCCATGGCCCTGCCGTGGCCCGCCCTGCAGCCCCCTTTCCCAAGGTGCGAGGTGGAGAGGGTACGTACTACTTGCACCTGCCCGTCTTCTCCGATCTGGTGGATCTGCACCTGCTGAGCGTTGGCCAGCGCGTAGTGCAGGGCCTGCGGCTGCGGCTGTGGCTGTGGCAGCTCGCTGGAGGGAGGTGGGGTGCTCATCATTGGCTCTGTGGGGGCGACAGGTGTGAACGGGGTGAACAATAAGTTTCTTAGGCATTGCCTCTTGCGGCATGTGTGCACCCCTGTCCCTCCCTCTTGACTCCCACAGCAGAGAAGAGGAAATGCTTCATTTTTCCTCTGCAGAGATCGCTACGAGTGAGTCTAAGGAACTGAGGCTTCCAACATGGAATGCAGAAGCGCCTGAGAGTGGAGTGATGTTGCTGTGACAAAACCCCTTCCAGTCCCAACTTCTTTAAATGAATAAAGTTCTTCAAGTGGACATTAAAAGCTGTTTCAGGCTGGCAATATTTGTCCATGGGTAATTAAACTAATAGGACAAAAGCCTCATCCATACACTTAAAGGTACTTTTCCGACAAATTTTACTTGCTGGGTTTAATCAAAATGAGATACATTTGCTTTGATGTACTGTGTATTAATTTTCACTGCAATGATGTCTCAATCTTAATTTTCTTAAACACTTAGAATATTAAGAGCGCAGAAAAACTTTTTAATTTTCAATGTATACACGTAGCTTTGTTGCAGAGAATTATAATAACTAATTAAAAAAAAACTTTTAAGCATAAAAATGTAGTAAGAAGGGCCGGGCACAGTGGCTCACACCTGTAATCCCAGCACTTTGTGAGGCCAAGGCAGGCAGATCACCTGAGGTCAGGAGTTCAAGACCAGCCTACCCAACATGGTAAAACCCTGTCTCTACTAAAAATACAAAAATTAGCCAGGTGTGGTGGCACACGCTTGTAGTCCCAGCTACTTGGGAAGCTGAGGTAGGACAATCACTTGAACCTGGGAGTCGGAGGTTTCAGTGAGGCAAGATCATACTATTACACTTAGCTCCAGGCAACAGAGCGAGGGGGGGGAGGGGAAAGGGGAGGAGAGAAAAGAAAAACTTTCCATGTATTTTTTACCAATAGCTAATGGTAGGTATTAAATTGCCATAGTACATAGATTCCACTGAAAACATTTTTTAAAGTAACAATAAAATGTTGGCTTTTTTTTTTTTTTTTTGAGACAGTCTCGCTCTGTCACCCAGGCTGGAGTGTAGTGGCGTGATCTTGGCTCATTGCAACCTCTGCCTCCTGGGTTCAAGCGATTCTCTTGCCTCAGCCTTCCAAGTAGTTGGGATTACAGCCACCCACCACCATGCCCAGCTAATTTTTTTTGTATTTTTTGTAGAGAAGGGATTTCACCAGGTTGGCCAGGCTGGTTTAAAACTCCTGTCCTCAAATGATCCACCTGCCTCAGCCTCCCAAAGTGCTGGGATTACAGATATGAGCCACTGTGCCCAGTCACATAATAAAATGTTGATACTTGCAATATGCTAGAAATTGTCCGGCTACACTAAATCAGAATCTGAATTTCATGAGATTCGAAGGTGGTCCTCCTGCATGTTGAACGTGGAGAGCTCGGCTCCAGCCAAAGACCCTGACTCCACCTGAGCACCTCCAGATGTGGGTCATGTCCCAAAGCAACCACCCCCAGGCAGTGCTGCACGCTCCACAGTGCGTTCCTGTCTGCCTGAGCAGTTACAGAGTACTTAGCACCATAGGTCCTCCAGCAAGCCTTGTGGACCCCAGGAAGAAAATGATGAAATCCCAGTAGGGCTGAAGCCCACCTCCACAGACCTGCTGCTCCTCCACTGACCCTCTCAGCACCTACAAAACCAGCCTAATTCTTCACTGATTCGCTGCTTCTCCAGGCATCTAACCATTATCAAACCTTGTGAAATCTCAATTTCTAACTGTTTCCCCAAAGACAACAGTTTCCAGCCCACTGCCACCTTGACAGTCCCTGGAGAGCTCCTCCCAGCGGCTCCAAAACGCCCCACCGGGGCCACAGGGCAGACAAGCTAAGAATGGGTGTGCTCCAGAGTGCACCTTCCAACCGCACGGGCTCCGAGGAAGGTCCTGCAAACCGGCGCAGCCAGCAAAACACTGCTTCACACGCTGCTCCACCACCGTCTACTCCTGTGCAAATGCTTTGAGTCTACATTTTCAGCTATGAAATTTCAGCTCATTAAATTTACCCTTTCAAGATTTTAGTATCCTAATGACGCAGGCCAACATATCTGGCAGTCGTCAGGTTATATAACAACCGCTTCTTGCTTACTAAGGTCCTGGCAAGTAATTTAACTTGGGTTTTGACTCCCCATTGGATGAAACAGACCGCTAACCTTACCAAGTGCACGTACCCGAAACACATGGCAGGCAAGCCTGGAAATCACTCTCCTGGCTTTTCAAGTCTAGGAGTTCCCTACGGTTCTTTCTGATGTCTTCTATTTCTCTCCTTGCTATGTTCCTTTTTTCCTTTAAATTCTTGAATGTAATTTTAATAAATTTCAATGTCCCGGTCAGTTAATCCCAGCCAGGGTCCCTTCCTATATTTAATAAACTTCAATGTCCCGGTCAGTTAATTCCAGGCAGGGTCCCTTCCTATCTTCTGATTTTCTGATCACAGGTCACAATTTCCTGCTTCCTGGTACTTTTGACTGGATACTGGAGATGGTGAATTTTACTTTGTTGGATGTCTAGGTTTTGTTGTCTTTCTTTTAAAATTGTTGTTACTTGTGGTTCAGTGTGATCTTTCTCAGGCTGTTTTAAGCTCCGCCTTTACTCTGGGATAGGTTAGCCGCTGGGGGGCGTGGCCTGCTAGTGCAGTGACGGCTGTTTTAAGCTCCGCCTTTACTCTGGGATAGGTTAGCCGCTGGTGGGCGTGGCCTGCTAGTGCAGTGATGGCGGTTTTAAGCTCCGCCTTTACTCTGGCGATAGTTTAGCCGCCGGTGGGCGTGGCCTGCTAGTGCAGTGACTGATCACTGAGCATTCTCCACTCTGGCTGCTGCGAATCCAATCGTCACCCTGCCTGGTGTGAGCTTAGGAACCATTCAGCTCATGCCTGCCTTGGAATCCCCCAAACACCCAAGGAGGCCCCCGTGTAACCCTCTGCTCTTAAGAACTTGACTGCACTTTTAGCTGCCTCAGCCTCTCTCAACTCCAACCCACCTCCTCCATGTGGTGATGCAGCTGTGCTCTGCCTGGCATCCCCCCTCCCTCCTCTCGCGTTCCCTCTCTCAGGATCACGGTCCTGTGCTGCTGCTTGTCTAATGTCTTAGGACAGCCGATTCACAGATTTTTCTCCAGATTTCGATGGCAAGAGAATTCAATCTGGTTCTTGCTACTATGCCTGACTAAAGTCAGAAATCTCCTCTCCTTGACATTTTTCTTTTTCTTTTTCTTTTTTTTTTTTTTGAGACGGAGTCTTGCTCTATAGCCCAGGCTAGAGTGCAGTGGCGTGATCTCAGCTCACTGCAAGCTCGGCCTCCCGGGTACACGCCATTCTCCTGCCTCAGCCTTCTGAGTAGCTGGGACTACAGGCGCCTGCCACCAAGCCCGGCTAATTATTTTGGCATTTTTAGTAGAGACAGGGTTTCACCATGTTAGCCAGGATAGTCTTGATCTCCTGACCTCGTGATCCGCCCGCCTCAGCCTCCCAAAGTGTTGGGATTACAGGCGTGAGCCACTGCACCTGGCTCTTTTTTGTTTTTTTGGCTTTTTTTTTGAGATGGCGTCTCGCTCTGTCACCCAGGCTGGAGTGCAGTGGTACAATCTCAGCTCACTGCAACCTTCGCCTCCTGAGTTCAAGTGATTCTCCTGCCTTAGCCTCCCAAGTAGCTGAGATTACAGGCATGCACCACCACACCCGGCTAATTTTTGTATTTTTAGTAGAGATGGGGTTTCACAATGTTGTCCAGGCTGGTCTCGAACTGCTGACCTCAGGTGATCAGTTCACCGCAGCCTCCCAAAGTACGGGACTACAGGCATAAGCCACCACACCCGGCCCCTCTGACTTTTAAACAACACTTTTTAAAACTATAAAACAAACGCAGTGCTTGTTGGAATTAACTGAGAAACTACAATGAAAGACAAAGAGACAAATAAAAATTATCCTACTACCTAGAGACAGGCACTATAAAAATGATCACACATAAATGTTTAATCACCTTCCACATACACCTATATATTTGCAATAAAAAATGGTCTCATACCATAAGTCTAGTTCTCACACCCACTCTCTGCCTAGCTATGAATATTCAAGAGCAGAATTCAAGTCATGAGCAATATTCCTCCAGCCCCATTTTAACAGCCACAGGTTACGCTGCTACATGGTATTTCATTGAATGCCATTAACCCATCCCCCAGGACTGCTACCTTTCTAAAGTCCCAAGGCAGAATTTCTCATTGTAGTAGAAAGGCCTAGAAGAGCTTCTTCAACACAGGTCACTCAAGAAAGCGCTGCTTTAGGGACACAACTTGTGTGGCCCACTGCAGCCAGCCACCTCCCATCCTGGAGCCCCTGGGCAGCAGCTGAGGCTGAGTATCTGATAACTACCAAAACAGCCCGGGAAAACCACTTCCTGAAGTCCAGTTCAGAAAGAGACCCCGGGAGAACTCCAGGTGATCTAGTCTGTAACTTGCAGGACCTTCCAGAACAAAGGGTTCTGGCCGACAAAGACTCCACTGAACAGGAGAGCTGGCCCTGCCCACGGCTGCCCTCGCATCCTGACCCCAGCCCCAATCAGAGCTCAAGTTCCAAGAGCCGCTGCCAATGCAGCTACCGTGGGGAGCTTTAAAAGAATAGTTTTCATTCAAATACTTACTAAAATATTTTGAGATGTCTTGGGTGAAAGGCAATATCAAGTCACATTGTCATTCCTAGTGAAAATTCTCCCAAGGAGAAACAATCCCCCCAGCAATGCCTGAGAGACAACTGCAAGAGAACTGCTTCCATTATCTTGTGGATAAATCCAACTAAGGCCATGAACTCAAAGTAAAAATAAAGCACAATTCAGAATCCACCCCACCCCTCACCCGGAGTCACCAGGCAAATCATGAGAATACAATGGCCGGCAGCCACATGCAAAGGCCTCGGCCTCCTTGCCCCCATCCAAAAGACTTCCAGGAGGTCCAACAGGCCCTGTGTGAGGAGCCTGGAGCAGGCCTGAGGCTGTCTGTGTGAAGGGCACACAGGGCCAGGCACAGGTCCTGCGGCTCCACTGCTCCGTGTGCACCGCACAAGCCTCTGGCCTCAGCTCCTGGCAACTGCTAGAGCCTCCGGCCACACTCTGGCTGCCCCTAAAAATGCCACCAGGCCAGCTGCCCTAAGCAGGCAAGGGCGGCCTCTCCTGTGGCATGAGGCCTACCTGAGGGGCAGTAGGAAGATGAGTTCGGCGTTCTCCGCGAGAAACTCTTGACCGCCAGGCTCTGGCCCCGCTGTTTGCGCCGCCACGCCGTGCGACACTTGGAGTCAATGCTCTGCTTGATTCGGTACCAGTCGGATTCCGTGATGCCAAATTTATAGAAAAGGTGACCTGGAAGGACATATCCAAGGAAAAGCGGTGAGGCCTGCTCAGGATGGCCATCAGGAGCTGCCTGGCTGCAGAGCCGGGGCCCGCAGAAAAGGCCTCACCCAGGCACCCCAGCCGGCCAGGCTGGCCCCATCTTCCTGCAAGGGTCCAGAAAGGCCCGCTGCACAGAAGGTACTCAGCTGGCCCACAGGCGGGGCTCCCCATAAGATACAAATGATCCCTAAGGGGTCATGACATGCTCTTTCCACTTGTTTAACTTCTCGATCCCTCTGACTTGGTCTGCCCACACCAGCTGCACACTTGGGGCTCTCACAAGATTCCCAGATCGTCCACGCTCCAACTTTCCTCTGCCCTGAACTCACAGCAGCACCTAAGGTCCTGCATGCCCAGAGGATGAGATCAGGGACCTCAACAATTGAACTAGAATTTGTCGGTCCTCTGCTTACTCACGCCTGCTTGGCCACCGCCCTCCCTTCCTTCATGTCTTGGCTCCACCATCCCTCTGGATAACCACCCAGCCCTCCCGCCCTCCCGCCCTCCTGGCCTCCCACCCTCCTCCCACTTGTTTTGTCAGAGCACTGACCACCTTCCAGTGTTTGGAGAATTCATGTATGTAGTTTACACTGTTCCCCTCACAAACACAGTTGAGAATTCACGTGTGTACTGTTACTCTGTTCCCCTCACAAACAGTTTGGAGAATTCACATGTGTACTGTTCCTCTGCCCCCCTCACAAACAGTTTGGTATTATTACTCTGTTCCCCTCACAAACACAGTTTGGAGAATTCACGTATGTATTGTAACTCTGTCCCCCTCATAAACACAGGGGCCTTTGTTGTGTCCACCCATGAGGGTCAGGCACCTAGAACGTTCTCGCGCGCAGTGGCTGCTCCCGTGTAAACAGTGATTACAACAGACCGTAAGACACCCTCCCATGGCTGCTCAAGACTGGGGCTTGTTTACGTCATTCCCGACACCTCTCTATCATGCCTTCTCAACCAGAGCACAACCTCCTCACGGGCAGGGCCTGCGTCCTCATCCCTGGAGTCCCTACACCACAAGCCGAGTGGGCACAACCTACTCTCACTGGGGAGCCAAAGCCAGGTGCATCGTCTTCCCGGGGCTCGCCGTGCACACAGCAGAGAACTGTCCTGGGACCCCCAGTTCTCTACAACCTGCACTACAGAGAGCTCTCAGCATGCCCTGAGTAGCATCCAGAGATGCCCTGTATTCAACAAGGAGAAAACTGAGGATCCAAAGGCCACAGTGGAGCAGGTGACAGGATGGAACCAGCACCCCGCTGCACGCCCAGTCACTTCCCACTAGGCCACAAGACCCTTTCCCTGTAGCGATGACGAATGTGGGAATCATGGGAAGGGCTCTTCAACACACTGGCCTCTCTAGCTGGCTCATGCAACTTCACTCATTTACAGGAAAATACACGGATGGAATCCAGAATTGTAGTAATAAGATGAAGCTGAAAAGTGTCCTGTTTCAACTACCAAGAGCCTCAAGTCTGGACTCTACTGCCCAAACCCTAAAAATCTGTTCCCATTGAGACCAAAATGGTAGAAACAATCGAAACAGAGGAAGAAGTGTTTGGGTTTTTTTAAGTACTCTATTAGGTATCAAAAGTCCCTCGGGTTTTGGAAACATGCCTCTTAACTTTTTTATCAGTAGATACTTGAGACACGTTTGACTCTCTGTATAACGACAACCAACCTGTCTGTGCTATAGACAAAAAGAAACCAGCCAGGAGGGCGGGATTTGCAGGATCAGAGGGAAGAATAACCTGAAGTCGTTTTGGCAGCACGTTTTTATCCTCACACATAAAAGAAATTATACGTGAAGCAGCAGCTCTTTGTCTTCCAATTTTCGGGTCATCTCTAAAATAATCAGAGTCACCCTCAAATCTTGGCTGGGTGACGGAGACGCCTCAGGAAGCCCTAGGCTGAGCAGCCTTAGTGACTCACAGAGGAAGCCAGCCACTGGCTGTGGTCATGGGAGAACCCAACCATTAAAATCACAATGAAATCCTTACAGGAGAGCCCAGCTACTGCCAGAGGTTGCACCACAGTTACCGTAAAACCCAGCTTTCAAACTCTACTTCAACAGTTTCAGGAGAGCCCAACTACTGACTTTAGATACAAAGCAGCCCAGCTGCTGCCACCAGGAGACAAGAAAAGAAACAGCCATCCCACCAGCAGGACAATGACTTTGGAGCACGAGTCGATAAAAAGAAACATCCTCAGAACCGCCCTCCTGTTACCCTCCCACCTTCACACTCCAGGAGAAAACTTCCATATACCTCAAAGGATTAATGAGTCCATACGAAATTTAAAAACAGGTTAGTAACAGGAAAGAAAATATACCTAAAACACCCAGGTGTACGGGTAAGAGAAATGAGTAAAAACATTAACATTTCAATTCAACTTTGTAAAAACAGAGTTGCCAGTTCAAACCCTTACTCATACCTTTTAAATAAAAAAATACATATTCATCTAGTTACCCGCCACCGAGTTTCCATTGTCCTCAGACATCAAATTACCTAATTCCTTCTGATCCGCGCTCCAGGCCCCAGCCTGGGCCAATGCCCCCTGCTGGCCACCAAGGAGATCCAGAGAACAGACCAGCCGCCCAGGCACTGCCTGCAGAGCGCGGTAGGTGAGGAGGGGGAGGATCTGAACATGCACAGATGAGTGCAGGCGTCGCCCGAAGACGCTACTGGACTGCAGCTGGGGCAAGCGCTCGCTTCTGGGCAGCCCTCGGGGCTCTGAGGGTCTGTGAGGGGCTCAGATTCCTTTACCGTTTGTGACAGCACTGAGCAGCTGCACTTAACAGAGGGAGCGGGAAAAATCCTATCATGATGGGATCAAAAGATCACCTTGAATTTAACTGTCATTTTCCACTTAAAGCATCTGATCTCATGTTATTTGATGGACATTCTTTCTAAAAGCCTCATAAAGTAGGAATGTCACTACTTTCACTTTGGTTTTGAGGCAAAAGCCAGAAAAAGGAGAAGTGATGTGTCCAAGTCCAATTACTAGTTAGGACTGAGCACTGGCCTTAAAGTGCAAGCTTCCTGGGCCCACCCAGGTGGAGAGGCAGCGGCCCTCACTGGATCCTGAGAACCCATGAGAGGCACTCGGGGAGGTGGGAAGAACACGCACAGCCCCGCACACGTGCCTCTGCTGTCCTGAGCTCCCTCAGCCCAAGGCACCCACAGCCCCTGCTGCCAGGAGGCCTAGTCGGACTTCGATCGAGGCAGAAGGTCTCCCCCGCAGCAGTGCCCAGGACACAAGAAGAACAGAAGTGCTCGGCATCCAGCTGCTGCGGCTCATGGGATCCCCATAGCGCGGCATCACCCTCCCGGGAGCAGAACACCCTGTCTGGCCTCAGTCCCTGCTTCCCCAGCACATCCCCCACACCACGCCCATCACACACCACGCCCATCGAGGCCCCTCCAGGCCGGGACAGGCTTGCCTTCCAGGCTCAGCCAGGCAGCATCCCTGCCACTGCCCACACCTCTATTTTCCTGATGAGCTGTCCTGCAGTTCCCAAAGAGCTGAAGAGTCCCCATTACACCATTAGCTGCCTTCCCACTTTCCAGAATCCCCGTTACTGACTCTGGTGGTTCAAATCATAAACCGATTCCCAGCCTTCCATCTGTGGGGCCATGAGCGGCACTGTGGGAAGCGAGATGAGAGAGCTTGTAATCTTGCGTCTTGGTGGGTGGCACGGGGCTTTATCAGTCACAAAGGAATGAAGAGCACCACCCCTGCTAGTGCAATCTCAAGTGCAAGGGAAGGCAGCACAAAACTGAGTGCCAACAACTGATTTCTTGAAATTACAGACTCGACGTGATAGCGCTGCCTAGAAAAACAAAGGGCGTCTCGAAGCCTCTGCCCGATGGAAGCCAGCTGACACGCTCCCTCCCGGGGGAAGCACACGCAGCCCACACCCCACGCACCTCACATGTCCAGCCTCCAGGCCACGCTGACCGCCTTCTCCAAGCCTGCTGACTCACTCCTTTATGAGAAAAAACGATGGAGTGACACCTGTCCTCAGTCTGTTAGCAACAGAACCCCTCACAGCCACCTGCAGGACCACCTCCAGGTCACAGCATGTGGGTCAGCTGCTGCTGAGGCGGCGGCTCCGCTCACTTTTCTGCCTGCAGCCCACATTGACCACAACTTCCTCGCAGCTCTCAGTCACCATGAGGCGCTCAGTGTCCCACGACAAACACCCACCCCTGCGTGGAGTCCACATTCTGCCCTTAAGGACACATACAGGGCAGCCTCACCATTTCACCTCACAGAGAACCTGGAGAAGAGACAGCACTTGACCACCCGTGTCCCCACAAAACTCATGTCCTGGCCCAGGACCCCGGAATGTGACCTGAAGGGAAACTAGGGTCTCTGCAGATGTGATTCCTTAGGTTGCAAGGAGGTCATCCTGCAGGAGAGGGGGCTCCAAATCCAGTGACTGTCCTCGTAAGGAAAGGGACACAGAGGGAGACACGGGGAAGACAGCCGTGGGGGACGCGGGCAGAGATTGGAGGGATATGGCCACCACCAGAAGCTGGGAGAGGGAAAGGGCCTTCAGAGGCAGCGTGGCCCTGCCCACACCTTCATCCCAGGCATCTGGCCTCCAGACCTGCGCAGCGTTCCATGCCAGCCAGACTGTGAGCTTTGTTCCAGCGGCCACAGGAACCTGAGGTACCCTGCAAGACACAACGGGGCCAGGACCACCTGCTCTTGGAGTGAATGATCTGAAAAGAACCACAATCATCTGACAGGTCAACCTTGAATGTACAACTTTTTACTCTGTGCAAGTGAATCCGGTCTCTCCGTAACTGCTAGGAGGTCTCGTGGAGATCTGCCACCCACAGTAGCATTCTTTAGATCACACGAGATCGGGTGTCTTCAGGGTGGCACGGCCATAGACAGCCTCTTTTAGAAAAGCCTTCCGATCCGGGGTCACTGGCTTGGATGCACAGTCCAAG